TAAGACAAAACACTTTGGCTAACTGGAATACCGGTTTTTACAGAAGAAGCTGTCTTGCCTCGCTCCAAACCAAACCAAAACTTCTCAAAATCTTGGTGTGCCGTGTTTATAACTAAAGTAATGGAAAACCTTGCTTATGATTATAGAAATTCGTATTAACAAGACCACGCTACTACAAACTATGTATAAATGTTTCTTTCGATCCGTTTGAAGCGCATTTTATGTGCATGTTAAACAATTAGAATGTGCCTTATTACAAGGAGATATGACTTGATAGCATAAGAAGTTGAATTCTTTTATTCATAATAATAAACTGAAAATCTCGCAATCAAACCAAATGTGAAAGTTGTTGAAATGTGAAGATCTTTCAAATAGTAAAATTTGAGCAGCTAACTTTTCTACTCCTATTTTTTTATTGCGTATTCTCCTAGAGTTTGAAAGAAAGTGTGCACAATTTGACTGTGAACTTTCAACAAAGACTTCGTGCAGGCCAAAATGAAGTACTCAAAGTACTTAGCGGGCAGTTAGTTGAGAACCCTTAGGTTTAGCAAGAGTTTCTGTGAACTAATCAGTAATCAATCACCATGCTTAGGGAAAGAAATAATTTAAGGCGCATTTTGCAAGATAAGGGTAACCACAGCAGATTCCAGAGATGTCACAGTAAGTCAAAAGGGAACCGTATGCTAGCATCCAAAACTAAAAAGGAGAAAGAAAGGATTAACAACCCACCTGTAACGCTGGCAACCAGCGCCACTAGCAGTACACCGTGCATTTCCTATTTAATCCCTAGCACAACGAGTATGCGACAGAACGTTGCCTAAGTTTACGGTAAAAGTGTGGGAACCGTTTCGGCCTTTATCTATGAAGATGAGGTGCCCCGCCCGGTGTCCTAGCGTACGTTTGCGCCGCCATCTTCATATTCACAATCTCTCCGCATTTTAGCCGCTGTATCGCGAGAAGCGTGCGAAATTTCGCAACATTCCGGACCATCTAGGTGCAAAATTTGTCGTCATTGTGGGTTGGAGAAACTTGAATTGAGAGCCTCAACATGAGAAAAGATAACAGATGCGTATGAAGCCATATTCAAGCTTTATCAGAAACGTTTCAATCTGCTTCAAATCAATTTAGAAATTAGATCAAAGAGATCCTTTTTTCCGTGTAAACTGTAAACTATAAGAAATTGCTC